AGCCTTGCGTCGAAACTGGACAATCGCTTGTCGATTGACTCCAATATGTCGGCAATATCTTTGCCGGCTGGCGATGTTGATCAAATTTTCAATAATGAAAGAAATTAAAGCATCTGTCTGATATGATTTATAGCAGACAATGGTTCCCATGTGGTGCAATTCCCAGGTCTTATTATTGGCCCGCTCTATGGACACTTTCGGAACCTCTGCTATAATAAAACCTACATTTATTACAATCACCAATGGCAGCTATCACCTCATCACTTTAACTGTAACACTTTTCGGTCTCAACTTTGCAGTTACTGTTTTCATCGTTTGTGTTACAAGCATTTGTAAGTGTAATTTGTTTGGAAGTACAGTCGATGAATTTTATGTGAAAACATTTCTGCATCTCAGGAACGGTTTAGAGTTTGAACTACTTTTTGGCTTTAAACTGACCTGCAATTTGGTTTGGCTAAAAAATTTGGCAGCAGACATTTGCCCAAATTTCTGGGAGCTTTGTGGGGTGAACACAGCTTCTCATCAGTTTAATATATTTATTTATTTATTTATTTATTTTAGAAAGAGGGGCAGCACATATTAAGCATTTTACACAAATGCAAATATGCCACATTATAGACTTGGGCTAGTTTTCATCTGCAGACCCTCTGGCAGGTTGGTGTTACACACAAGTTAGTAAAAACATACAGAGATAATATTTACAGATCATGTGACAAAGACAAAAACAGTGATCACATCATATTAGACCAAACAATGACAAGAGGAGTGGACAACAGAGGACAATATAGATAATAATAACGGAAACACATCAGTTATATTGCACATATCCCAGTATTACACATGCTCTGACTGTGGTGATATTGCACTGACACATTACGCTATGTTTCCCTTTTTGTAATACATTAACTCTTTTTCACGTCCAACATAAAGCATGAAACACGATCACATGTTTGTGTGTCCCTCAGCCATGTATAACTTCATCTCAAAGTTGACAATGGTGATATGAAAAGGGTTTCTTATCTAATATTTTCAATGCTCTTTTGTAGCATACTTCGATTGGCCCAATAGCAGCAAAGCTCGTATTGGACCAACTTGTAATAGAGTGTTTACTATGAGCCAGTATCATAGAGTGCAGGAATGTAATCGCTGCTGTGTCTGTTAAATGGGCCGGTTGGTTAATACTAAACCTGTTGTTGTTCCCATAAGTTTCTTTTTACTATTTTGCCATTTTGTCAAAGTTAACAGAAATATTCACACACACTTTGCTTCATCAGTGTCAAAGCGCATGTATCTGCTGACCCTCTCAACATTTTAACTGATTTAGTTTTCATTATCATCAGCTTTCTCTTTTGTCAACAATATAATTAATCTAACTTAAATGAAATTCAAACCACTGATCAAAACATACCAGCTTACATCATATTGTGGTAATCCAAGTATTTAATCATTGGTGATAATGAAATGTCAGCTCTCCGCCATAGTTTTTTTCCTCTGTCTCAGCGTTGTTCGTCTATTTGGGGGGTTCTCTCCATTTTCTCTCCTGCTTTCATTCAAAAGGGGACTTGAGTTGACTGCTGTTGTAATTTTGCCCTACAAAAAGTAAAATTGAATTGAGTGGAATGGAACATTGGGGATAAAAGCTATAAACATTACCGTTGCCACATTAATACCATCAATATTACTCATGGACCTGAAAAACAGCGCAATCGTCTTGCGCTGGTGTTTGTTGTCTCATATGATTATCTGTTATCAGTTTCACTATCGTGTTCCCGACTGTTGTGATTTTGTTGCCTCATGCTGTGCAGCGGCATGCTTAAGTTTAAGTTTCGTTTCTTGTTGACAGACTGCACAGTGACACAGTGAGGATCAGCTGTTGCCCCTAAACACACGACAACATGTTTTCCTGGGGAGAGGACTGTCAGCGCGGGTTTTACGTGAAAGACGGCTCCGGTACCGACAGCACGACCACTGATGATGGAGTTCATTACTTAAACATCAGCCATCACATCGCGGATCTGTCGGCAGGTCGAAACGTGCTGGCTTTCGTTAAAAGTAATGGAAACGCGTTCATTATCCGCACAAACGAGAGCAAGGATGGGAGAAGAGCGAGGGGCAGGCAGAGTGAGTATCGGTGTCACTAACAAGTTCACTCTCTGCTACATTTAACCGAACTGTGTCCACTCACACCTGCTGTGTTTGTGGCTTGTGAATCTGCAGAGTTTGTGAAACACAAAGAGAAGATAGAGGCTGTGAGTTGTGGCGATGATGTGGTCGCACTGCTGTCTGTGAGCGGCAAAGTTCTCTGTGTGGACACCAGACACCCACCTTTCACTCCCAGGTAACAGATACAGATGTGCAAACCTTTATTATTATTGTTGTTGTTGTTGTTGTTGTTTTTATTGGTCCTATGAGAAGGAGTATTAGTACCACGTTAAGAAAAAAAGTATGCTCCATAGACTGGCAATAGAAATGTGCAAAATGATTTATTATGGCTGTTATGATTAGGCCTTTAACCCCGCAGTGTGTAGCCTGTTTATTTGGATTTTTCTTCTGTTTCCTGTTCCTTCTCTTTCAGCCCACTGGAAGCTTTTTCTAACAAACAGGTTTCTCAGGTTGCTTGTGGGAGTCAGCACTCGGTTGCACTGACCAAAGGTACAGTACAGTTCTGCAATAAACTGCTACAAATGTAAATGAAAAACTCAAATAATTTAGACAGAGTCAGTCCATCCAACTTACATTTATACGAAACATGTTTGGTTGCCTTACTAATTGTCCACACAGGGTCTATGTCATGACATTAAACATAAACTCTGCGTAAAAGTTGAAGATGTCAGGAGTGAGAGTGTTTCACAGAGACATGCTGATTCTCCCACAGATGGTCAGCTGTATACGTGGGGTCAGGACTGCAGGGGCCAGCTGGGTCTGGGTACGAGAAAGTCTGTCTGCAGATCACCTCAACATGTGCCATCACTGTCAGCGATCCCCGTGATCCAGGTCGCTGCAGGAGGAGACCAGAGTTTCGCCCTCTCTGTCTCTGGAGGTGTTTTCAGCTGGGGGAGAAATGACTGTGGACAGCTCGGGCTGGGAGACACAAAAGGTACTGTGGCTTTACAATAAATGTCCTACCTTTATTGTATGTTAATGAGCATTATAATCTGGTAACATAATAACACTGACAATCCTTTTCCTTACAGACAGACACACACCAGCTCCTGTTCAGTGTTTGAATATGAAGAAAGCTCAGCGCATTTCCTGTGGACAGGACCACACGGCCATTTTGACAAAGGTTAGACAACAGGAGCATTTTGATGCTCTCCTTTCTTACTAATATATTATTGTAAAGAGTGTGGATTTAAACAAAAAAAAAAGAAATTATTCAAGGAATGCAAAAAAAAGGATTTTGAATGTTGTCTCAAAAACATCTTCCTATAGAAGTTACAAGTTCTAAACATGAAAAAAGAAAGCTGAAAGAGAATGAAAAGCTCTGTGGAGTTTGATTTTGATGCTGTACTCACCACTGGGACACAAATTTTAAAAGCAACTTAATTCTTTATTTTTTGCAAACATATTAAAATAATTGTCATGTAAAAGTAAATGGCTGTGGGACTTTACACTGTGGTTGTGTGTTTGGCTCCTCAGCATGGGGCAGTGTTTACATTTGGCTCCGGTCAACACGGACAGCTCGGTCACAACTCACTACGCAACGAACTGCGTCCTCGACTTGTTGCGGAGCTCTGGGGGGCAAAGGTCACCAAGATTACATGTGGAAGGTACGACACACATACTGTTTAATTCATGATCTAATTTTTTTCAGCTTTAACAAGGAATGTTTCTTTGTTTATTTTTCTCAGCTTTTACATCCATGTAAGATAAGATAAGATAGAACTTTATTAATCCCTCGGGTGGGTTCCTCTGGGAAATTCGATTTCCAAAAAGTACAGCACCGACAGAAGTTACAGAGTTACAGAATATTATATACACACACACATATATATACACACACACACACACACACACACACACACACACACACACACACACACACACATATAAATACAGAGACAAATATAAATAAAATATACAAAGGGGATAAATAGAATAAATAGGAATAAAAAATAAAAATACAAGTGAATTGCACATTTCAAGTATTGAGTCTATTGCACTGTTGACTATTTACAAAAAGTATTGCACAAGGTATTGTACAGTGAGGTGAAGAGGCACTACAGCTTAGTTGTTCCCCCCTCCTTTGTCCTCCTGTTTCCCCTCCCTCTCCCCTCCAGAGAGGAGTTAAACAGTTTGATGGCGTGTGGGACAAAGGAGCAATTATATGTGAAGCAATTATACATTTTAAATGTATCACAATTCTTTTAGAATACATTTTTATATAGAGTTAAAAAAAATTAAATAGATTAATTTAAAGATCACTGGTTATACAGTTACATGAGCATGTTAATGTAAAAACACCTTAAGTTATTATATTATCACTGAAGAGACTAACAGATATCAGAGACAACATCAAGCATCTTAAATAAAAATGCTTAAAGTAAAGCAGTTAGTAAAGTGTATGTGTGGGTTTGAGGTCTACATATTTAGTATATTATCTTCTACACAGGAATCACACTTTAGTGCTGACTGAATCCAAGAGGGTCTACTCCTTTGGTTGTGGGGATCAAGGGCAGCTGGGACATCGAGAGGAGAGTAATCCATCTGTGCCGCTGCCTGTTCGACTGCCACAGGGTAACTACACCTCTGATAATAAACAAATTGAGGATGCAATTAATTTATCTATGAAAGAAGTGACGTGTTTACTTATCATTTAAGGCACCAATGGGCCCAAAATCAGAAACATCTTTGCAGGAGAAAACTGTTCATTTGCAACATGCTGGTCTGATGAGGTACTGACACTCACACATTAGGTACAGACTGTGATGGGAGGAGGTGCGAATATGTGTGAATATGTAAACAGTCACTGCTTTCCTTCACAGGACATTGACGAGGGTTCAATCACAGACTGTGACATAGCATCACAACACTGTCTTGATAACATGGTTGACAAATGGATCTCTGAATGTGATTTAAAGTCATGGAAAAAGATTAAACAGTAAGTATGATGCACTGGCAGTCACAGCTTGTTGGTTTGCCTGGTGATTTATGGATTTTGTGACTCAAATTACTTGTTTGAAAGCAAGTTTTTTTTCTGCAATTGAATGAAAACATTAAATCTTCACAGGGAAATCATGGAGGCATTTTCCTCTGCATCCTATCTGAATAAAAGTTTCCTTGAAAAAAGGTAAATACAGAGATAATGTCCATGTCATGGTTGTCGGTGGTAGGTCTAATATTTAAGTTTTAAGTTTAAAATTTAGCGCTGCCATTTATGGTTATTCTGTGCTAATTTGTAATGATATCGATGATTCTTATTAGCATGAATAAGAGGACACGGTGTGGGTTTGTCTGGTACATTGGTTGATGTCAAAATAGCAGCCAAACTAATGATATTCCTATCAGTGTTAAAAGTTAATTAATTAGCAAATGTGAACATGCTCTTAAATTAACTGGGTGATCACAGCAATGTTTTAGCTGCTATATATATTTGCTGATGCAGAAGAAGAAACGCTTTAATGTGGACTTTTTTCTTTGTGTTCTTAGCGGTGATAAACATTTCCAAACTTCACCAAAGTACCCCGGTTTGAACATGAAACATGCACGGCATGCTTTCAAAAATTTGGCAAAGAAAGACAATGTTCTTGCAGAGGTATGTTACTAGAATACATGTAATCTGTAGGAAAAGGCTATGTTTTTGTTTTTATAAATAATCTTTCCAATAATTTGAGAAATGTCAAGACTCATGACTCCTTGTTTTTATGTCTATGTTGACAATCATTCATTTGATCCTTTTTATACTTGGAGGGGGGGAGGGGAGTATTTCAGTTGTTATTTTGACTGTTGCAGTATGTACAAAACTCAGACTATCTCAGACACTCACATGTAATTATAACTCTAAAACAAAGCCTCAGTCTAGACTGTCTCCTAGTTTCTACCCATTTGTATCACTGAGACAGTCTAAAACCTGATATAGCTTAATCAAGCAGACACATGATTATCATTTCATACATTGTATATATTATTGTAATGTACTTGTTATCTGTGGCCACATATTGAACAGGCACAGTCGCCTTTAAAAAAACACTTGCATATGACTCATTTAGGGGATATTTGCTAATAGTAACTGGATACACTCTAAGTGACAAGGTAAGAATCCTGGTTTTTATAAGATACCTAAATAATCCGAACATTTTTCCTCTGCACAAAAACAATCCACCATTGATCTACCTGCTGCTGAGTGATCCTTGCAATCCTTGCCAAACTAACAGATCGAGGCTGCAGTGCTACGCCTGCTTCCTTCCCTCGATCAGAAACCACTGGGAGTGGAGGGGTTGAGAATCTACCTTCTTCTCATTGAGCTTCTGCACACAGTCCTGAAACAGACACGGCAACAGAGAATAAAGCTCGCTGTGGCGGTAGCCAATGCAGTAACAAGGTTGTCGAATGAAAGCCTCCAGATTATAGGTATGCTGCCTATACCCACCACCACTATTACACATGGAAATTTTAAAGCCCTTCTACCTGCTGTTTTTACTTTTGCTAACGTTATTGTTTTCTTCAGGCGACTGGTGGTCCTCTCTGTCGCACTCCACCATGATTCGACACATTAACGTGTGGAAGCAGGCACTCTCAGAGATCCTGTCCTTTGTGCCTGTTCCCCGCAACTCCGGGGTCAGAAATCTGCTGCTAGTCCTCAAATACATGTACAACGTCAGTGTTATTATCTTAAACCAGTCATTTTACTCCTTCTTAAGCCTTAATGCCTCTTTTTTTAACCTGAAAACAAAAATAAATTGTAAGTAAAATTTTTCTTTTAAAGGCCAACAGCAGGGTTGCGGAATCTCGAAGGATACCGGAGAGCAGTTTTTATTTATTGTTGGATGAAGCATTTCTTAATGAGGATCTGGACCAGTGGCATTTACGTTCAGAAAACAGGGTAAACAAAACAAAACCCTGCCTTTTTTTTTTCTGTTTTAGGCTAAAGCGATGTGTCTGTCATGTGGTTGGGTCTGCTTTTGTGATGGCTATTTTCTCTTTTTTTCTTTTGTCATTTGCCTTGGGTGCGATCATTCATTGACTCTTCACCATCTGTTCATATTAACATCCCATTATGCAGCCTGACATTATATTTACCGTCACTGTCATGGTTCTGGGTCCCAGCATTCTGAGTTTCTTCTGTTTTTATGACATTTTGTGTTATGGTTCCCTGAGTTTATTCTGTTAGCTTTTGTTCAGTATGTGTTTATGTGTGTTAGTCTTTGTGCCTTATTTCCCTCTTCTGTGCCTGTGTTCCCATCCTTGTGTGTCATTCCATATTTTCTCCATCTATTGTGTTTATCCGTCTTCCTAGACCTTCTCGTTTCTCTGAGTGTTGTGTCCTCCCAGTCACCATGTCATGTTTGGATATTGTGTCACCCTTTGTGTCTTGTCTCTCTTGTCTCCTCTCTCTCTCTCCCTCTCATGCTCCCTCCTGTCGGCTCCTGTGTGATGTTTCTACATTTCCTGTTTTATTGTGAAAGTCTCGTTTTTCCATGTTCTGTGTGTCTAGTTGTGCTTCCCCTGTGGCGTCAGGTTCATTCGTGTCAGCTGTATTCCCCGTGTGTTCTTACTTCTCTCGTTATCCTCCTGTGTATTTATGTCCCTCATGGTTGTGCGTGTCCCCGTGTGCCCGGTTTATATAATTTTCAAGTCTAGTTTTGTGTTGTTTTGCCATTTAGCAAAAAAAGCTGTGTCTGAGTCTACTTTCGCCTCCGTGAGTCTGCATTTGGGTCCTTTCCTGCCTGCTGCACAGCCGAATCATGACAATCAAATTACAGCATGTAACATATCATAAAAAATGAGTGGTTCCAACTGAAAATGTCTGCATTGCTAACAATTGCATTATTAAACTCAAAAGAACTGTATGTTTTCTTTTCTGTGTTTAGAATGCCAAAGCTGAGCCACTTCTCCTTTGTGACTTCCCAATTGTGATGGACCTGCAATCAAAAAAATTGGTTTTTGACTCTTATTCTGAATACACCAAGCTGGTAAATGACATCCTTATATGAATTTGGTGTGATACAATACTCTGTTTAAAATACACTTTAAAGTAAGTAATCAGGTAGGCAAAACAAAAACATGTTGAATCTTGAACTTTTTTTTCCCATTCAATGCAGATGAGTTACTACTTGGATAATTTCTCTGACTACTGGGGTATTTTTGATGATTACGATGAAGATGTATTTTTACTGGACCTGAGGCGAGCAACCATTTTGGAAGACACCTTTGAACAACTGGCGGATGCTTGTGACACAGACTACAAGAAGCCACTTAGGGTAAAAACAACAAGCCAACTCAAAATGTTTGCATTGTTGTGTACACATTGTTATATAAACAATATTTTGGCATACAACAAAATTTGTTTACTTTTTATAATTTTGTCTTGTAGGTCTTGTTTGATGAAATGATCGATGACGTCTACAGGAAAGACTTTTTTTATGAAGTCTTTCATGACTTGATCTCAGCTGAATCTGGGATGTTCATGTTCAATGACTCTGAAACACTGGCATGGTTCTCCTCAAAAGTAAGAGTTACTAAGTTACTAAAAATATAATTTAAATAGACCGAGACTGACTTCTAAAACTATTTAACAATTGTGATTGCTGATTTATTACTCCTTAATTCAAGAAAACAATTTCAAATGTCTCTACTGTCAGCATCAGGCAACTCAGGAAGACCAGCGTTTCTTCCTGTTTGGAGTTCTGTGTGGATTGGCCTTGTACAACCAGTGCATCATCCACTTACCCTTCCCACTGGTGCTGTTCAAGAAGCTGCTCGGTGTAAGGCCTTCACTGGAGGATTTGATAGAATTCAACACAAGTGTTGGAGAGTAAGGGGGAAAGTTATCTTGTATTTGCTGTATTGCGCGAATATTTGTAGTGTTAGGTGCTGATTGGTTCCACAAATCATCTTAAAGTATTTTGTGTTTAAAGGAGTCTGCAGTACATTCTGGAGGACTACAAAGATGATGACTTGGAAAACCTGGACATGTATTTTTCGGTAGGTGTTTAACACAACTTTAAGTCAAAAACGGCTTTGATATCAACTCGCTTCTTTAATCAATAATATCTATTTTTCCCCAACAGATCAACTGGGGTGGAAAGGACATTGACCTTGATCCTGAAAGTCCTGAAAAGTTGGTGACAAGTCAAAATAAGTGAGGACAATGGCAGCATTTTTTCATAACATGCGTTTTAAAACCAAATATAGTATTGTCCTGCCAAAGAGAAGCTAGAGATAATAACAAGCCATCACATAATATCTAACGACTCTACCAACAGTGACAGTGACAATGGAGCTGACAGAAAGATATAACTGGATGTCATCTGCAAAGAAACATACATTAAACTGTTTTGTGACCAAGCAGAAGCATTTAATTAGAAAAAGTACCAAGACTCGGTGTATATCCAGGGCTCTAGAGTGCGACCAATTTGGTCGCAAATGCGAGCAAATTTTTCAGTGGTGCGCCTAAAAAAATATTTGGTTGCACTGTTCAGGTAACCAAAAAAAATAATAATCTCTGCAACTGTCCGTGTGGTCACTAAACCAATCAGAGATAGTCAGGGGCGGGACCTCTCTGATTGGCCTTGGTCCAGTTGAAAGTGCAGGTGGAAGTGGGAGGTGAGTAGCTTGAATAAAGCGATATCGATTCATTAAATCCTGAATTGACTTTTAAATATAACTGTGTTTTGCCAGAAACGCCAGATTCTCAGATTAAAGCTCACAAAACTATTTCAACAACTACCACACAGCAAATGAGAGCAGGTACACGGATTCCACACAAAGACGGAAACACAGAATGGACCCGACGCATCAGAATCAACTTTGTCTTTCTCGGCTTTCTCACCCAACGGCCCGTAGATGGACACGCTGTCAGAGCTCGGCGATTCTGATGTGTCCGGTCCGCGCTGTGTTTACGTCTTTTTGCGCTGATTCTGAGCTGCAGGTTTTGTCTATCCAACCAAAATTCGCCGAGCCAGCAGCAAAAGAAGCAGCAAAAGAAGCAGCAAACTGCGCTTCACATTTGATCAATGTTGTCATGAATTTTGCTGTTTTGCTTCCACGACTATTAAAATCACACTTCATGCACAGCTAGCTCTCTCTCTCTCTCTCTGTACTTCAAGAACAGTTTCCCGTCTCCAATCTCTGTTTTCTGTATTATTCATTCGCTTATTACCCACCAGTCTACCGTTGTTTACAGCGCTGTCGGCTGCTGTCTTTTTCTTTTCTTTTTTTCACTTAAATGACCTCGGACAAGAAAGCCTTTTGTTTTTTCTGTTGTTCAATACTGAAGAAATTTAAACTTTTTAAAATTATGCAAAATTACAGAATATTGCAGAATGTTTTTAAAGTTATCTGATACAAAAAGCCAGACCAGAAAAATCTCCTTCATGTTTTTCGGTGTTTTATTCTCAGTTACTTTGACACAAAGGCATCTGCTGTGGTGTTCACAATTCTGATGAAGTTTCACATGTATCAGTACTGATAAATGATCAGAATTATAATATTTCTGACTGTCTGAGGCTAAATTGAACCGAATCAGGACTTTGAGAACTGGAATCGAATGGATTATCAGTGACGATACCCAGCCCTAGTGAGCAGCCTAGGCCCGACAGAAGTGGATGTAGCTCTGGGTAATAAGAAAAGATGAAAAGAACTATTGATAACTTTTTTGTTAAGTTAAGGCCTGATCCGTCTGAAATTCATAGCCAGTGCTCTGACACGGTGCCACCAATCTTTGAATGCTGAAAGAGCACAGTGTATCCAGAAAACACATTATATGCTGTGTCCCCTCTCCCCACTGCCTTTCAGCAGCATGCAACAGCAAACAGGTCGTCAGAGGAGGCCGAGATAATGATTAAGTTTAACATTTTCTACAATATTGACAAAGCACTTTAAGCACAAGATTGTTAGTTAATAATTTAGAAATGAATATTATATGTATGGACTGCAATTTCCCCCCCAAAAAGATGCACATGTAAACTTAAGCGATGCGGTTGAAAAATTTGAGTGCGCCTAACTTTTGTGCCGGTGTGCCCATGGCAACAAGTTAGTCTAGAGCCCTGATATCCTTGAGATACACCACAAGTTTGCATGTTTATTGGCAAGTAATTAATGGAAAATGTCCATGGCAGAGATATAAAGCGACCACTCTTTAAACAAAATGGAACAGAACAGTTCATGATTTGACCAAAGTGTGATTGTGTTTCTTTTAATCACTACTTTTATCTGCCAAACAGGAAGGAGTTTGTGGATGCCTACGTGAATCATGCCTTCAACACATCAGTGGAGAATGTGTTTCAGGAGTTCAAGAGAGGCTTCTTCCTGGTGTGTGAGCAGGATTTGGTGAAACTCTTCAGGCCAAAGGAGCTGCAAGAAGTGATGGTGGGCAAAGACTTCAGTGACTGGGAAAAGCTGAAACAGGTAAACTGCTGTAATTTGTCTGCAGTTCTATTATAGTTTAAATTATCTTTAGTATATCTAACAGCCTCTTTCACTACGATTAGAACACACATTATGAAGGTGAATACAGCGCAGACCATCCCACCATACAGATGTTTTGGGAGGTTTTTGATGAACTGACTGAGAACCAGAAGAAAGCTTTCCTTTGTAAGTATTTGAGTTGATCATATAAAACAATGAGTGCTAATCTTGTAAAGCCACAAATTGCAAGGATTTAATAAAGTAAAATATTTGTGTTTTATGTCCTGAGTTCATATGTTTCCAGAATGTTTTTACATTTCCTAATTTGTGCATTTGGTATCTGGTCTTTAGTAGGAAAAAGCATTTGATGAACTGCTGAGGTGGATGAGCAGTCATGAATGAACTGACAGTGTGACTTCAGAGGGCTATCAGGCCATAATGTTATGCACAAAATAAAACTCAGTGACTTCCACTTTTTTTTCTCTCTCTAGGGTTTGTGACAGGATTTGACCGGGTGCCCATTCTCGGTATGGACAAAATCAAGATGCAAGTCAAAGTTATAGATATCAAGGACGTCTCCTATGACCAGTACTATCCTCAGACACACACATGCTTCTCGACCTTGGAGCTGCCATTATACTCAGCTAAGGAGATCATGCAAACCAAACTCACAGAGGCCCTGAGCAACAATAAGAGGATCCATAAGTGATCAGTATTATAAGACAGTTTTTTACTGTATTGAACAGTAAAATGTAATTGTTGATCAAGTCTAGCGTTTGCAGTTACTGAAACATACTTACTGTTACTGTCATGATCCTGCGTCTTCTACCCAGCGTTTTGGACTTTTGGTTTGGATTTATTTAATAGTCTGAGGTTGAGATCTTTGCCCTGACTCCCTCTTGGGTGTGTATATATTGTTTGTGTCTCCCTCTGTGCAGCGTCATGATCTCGTCCATTCTCGGGCTGTGTGTTCTGCCTGTTAGTTTAGTTTCTGGAACATAAAAAATTTATGATGATGACTTGGCAACAATAAATGCCATTTTTTACTGTACTGAACAGAAGACATAACATTGTAATGCTGCACTCTGTGAATTGCTGACCAAAGAGTAGCATTTGTAGTTAGTTGTACTGCTGCTGATTGTGATGTAGATGGAATGTATGTATACCAAAGAAATCCCACCTACTAAAAATAAAAATGTGATACATGCTTTTATATAGTTTGGAGAAAGTGTTCCTTATTGTTACATCTCATAAAATATTCAAATATCCAAATAATATTCGAAATAACTGCATTCAGTAAATCATATTGAGCCTATGCAATGTTGTCATTGTAGACATGTGTGATATTTATTAAATATCAAAATTCTATGAAAAGTATTTACACCATAAAAGAATTAATCTTCGTTCTGAACAGAACTTTCACCGTTCAGTTTTTCAGATGTGGATTAAATTTTATTAAAGCTTTGCTTAGAATAAATTAAAACTGAAATTCGATGCACTTTGCTCATTTCCAATTCCAAATTGTTAATGCTGGACTCTGTGGAAGTCTCAGAGTTCAAAATACAATCCTTTGGCTTTAAGCCGAGTTTAAGATAAGATAAGATAAGATAACCTTTATTAGTCCCACACGTGGGAAATTTGTTTTGTCACAGCAGGAGTGGACAGTGCAAAAGTTATGAGGCAAAAATTAGAATACAATAAGAATAAATACAGTACACAACTGTACAGAATAGAATAAAATACTATATACAGTAGAATAAAATAAAATAAATATACAATAAGATAAAAATAGAATACAAATACAAATACTATATACAACTGAGTAAAAATACAACAATGACAGAAAGGATTATTGCACTTAGTATTATTGCATATGTATGGATGTGTGTGCTTGATCAGTTAAAGTCTTTATTATGGAGTCTGACAGCAGTGGGGAGGAAAGACCTGCGAAATCTCTCCGTCCCACACCGTGGGTGCTGCAGTCTCCCACTGAAGGAGCTGCTCAGTGCTGTCACAGTCTGCTGCATGGGGTGGGAGATGTTGTCCATCAGGGATGACAGCTTAGCCGCCGTTCTCCTGTCACTCACCACCTCCACTGGGTCCAGAGGGCATCCTAGAACAGAGCTGGCCCTTCGGATCACCCTGTTCAGTCTCTTCCTGTCCCCAGCAGAGATGCTGCCGCCCCAGCAGACCACACCATAAAAGATAGCAGAAGCCACAACAGAGTCATAGAAGGTCTTCAGGAGTGGGCCCTCCACTCCAAACGACCTGAGTCTCCGCAGCAGGTACAGCCTGCTCTGCCCTTTCCTGTAGAGGGCGTCTGAGTTATGAGTCCAGTCCAGTCTATTGTTCAGATGAACACCAAGGTACCTGTAGCTGTCCACAGCCTCAATGTCCATACCTTGGATGTTCAGTGGTTGCAGTGGAGAATGCTTGTGCCTGCGGAAGTCTACCACCAGTTCCTTGGTTTTACTGGCGTTGATCTGGAGGTAGTTCAGCTGGCACCAGTCCACAAAGTCTTGGGTCAGACCTCTGTACTCCTTGTCGTCCCCATCAGTGATGAGGCCGACTATTGCAGAGTCATCAGAGAACTTCTGCAGGAAGCACTGGGTGGAATTGTGGGAGAAGTCTGCAGTGTAGATGGTGAAGAGGAACGGAGCCAGAACTGTTCCCTGTGGGGCCCCCGTACTGCAGACGACCCTGTCCGACACACAGCCCTGAGTCCTCACATACTGTGGTCGGTCGGTGAGGTAGTCCAGGATCCAGGTAGTGAGGTGATGGTCCACTCCAGAGTTCACCAGCTTGTCCTTTAGAACCGAGGGAAGAATAGTGTTGAAGGCACTATTTGTTGTGGATGCTGCCTCCACAAACGATTTAAACAGTAAGTGGATGGAGCTCCAAGCTCATTGATACAGCTGAAGGTCTAAGATGATCATATTGGGAATATCTGCTCTCAGCAACGTCATACAGAGCCAAGATATATATTATACATGAAATATACAGTATATATTTTTTCCAGGCATATTTGATATATTGCACACTGCCAGGCAAAGCTTAACAGTAACTGCTGTTATTGTTATTTATTATTATTATTATTAGTAGTAGTAGTAGTGTTAATATATATATTTTTAATGAATTAATTTTTTTAGCATAGGAGAGGCCAGGGAAGCAAAGTCAGGAGCATTGAAGGTGGACTGAAACTGTTATGAAGCTTATACATAAGTTCAGTAAGGTAGATCTATGATGTCTGTCTGCTCCCAGTCTGTTCTTCACGTCACTTCCACTTGTTCACGCTGTCAACCTGTTTATGACATCACTGGTCCTGTGCAATCATCTTCTCAGGTTCGTGTCTCAGGTCACACGAAGCACTTTAAGTCTTAGTTCGCATCTGTTATTCTCCTTTGCAGACGCCTTCGTGCAACCCACCCACTCCCCATCACCGCCTATCATTACTCAGGCTCCATTCAAGCCTCCGTCTTTATCTCCACCACCAGTGTCCAGACTCCGGGGGATCCTGCTCTAATGCCCATCACATCTGGGGTTCTGTTATGCCAAGACGGGCCATTGAAGTGTATGAGCCAAATACCTCTATCTCAATTGCATGCATCAATAAATCATGTTATTTTTAGAAACCTCTCCTTCATGATTTTTGCCAAGCCTTTAAATTTATACAGTAGTTGGTTTTTTCTCTTTTTTAAAGTTTGTTACATAAAAAGTTGATACCAGCTAAACGCAGTATCAACATTTCCCACATTGTACAATACAAGCATGCATTTTTGTCCACTTCCTGCGTGTGAAACGAAACCCAATGAAAAGCTACACAATTGACCTCTCCTTGTTATTGTTATTATGATTGTCTCTTATCAGTTTTACTTTCGTTTCGTTACTTTAACAGATCAGCTGACTCGTGTTATTGTTTCCTTTCCGGATGCTGTGCAGCGGCATGCTTAAGTTTAAGTTTCGTTTCTTGTTGACAGACTGCAGAGTGACACAGAGGATCAGCTGTTGCCCCTAAACACACGACAACATGTTTTCCTGGGGAGAGGACTGTCAGCGCGGGTTTTACGTGAAAGACGGCTCCGGTACCGACAGCACGACCACTGATGATGGAGTTCATTATTTAAACATCAGCCATCACATCGCGGATCTGTCGGCAGGTCGAAACGTGCTGGCTTTCGTTAAAAGTAATGGAAACGCGTTCATTATCCGCACAAACGAGAGCAAGGATGGGAGAAGAGCGAGAGGCAGGCAGAGTGAGTATCGGTGTCACTAACAAGTTCACTCTCTGCTACATTTAACCGAACTGTGTCCACTCACACCTGCTGTGTTTGTGGCTTGTGGATCTGCAGAGTTTGTGAAACACAAAGAGAAGATAGAGGCTGTGAGTTGTGGCGATGATGTGGTCGCACTGCTGTCTGTGAGCGGCAAAGTTCTCTGTGTGGACACCAGACACCCACCTTTCACTCCCAGGTAACAGATACAGATGTGCAAACCTTTATTATTATTATTATTATTATTATTATTATTATTATTATTATTATTATTATTATTATTGGTCCTGTGAGAAGGAGTATTAGTATCACGTTAAGAAAAAAAATATTATTTAAAAAAGTCGAAAATGTGTTATAATGTGGAGATGACAGCTGTTTCAAGACAAACTGCCAGTGCTGCTATAGTCTACCTTTTACAAAATGCTTTTTGTAGATGAGTTAGTAAAATCATGCAGAATCGGTTTAAGTTACAAGACATTTTTTCCTTACATAAACACAGTGTGTGACCAGCTGCATCTGGTCAGAAGGCAAAAAAAGTAAGAATCGTATATTAAATAGTTTCTAATAATTAGATACAGTATAAACAGTATATATGTATTCCAGCCCTGGAATATGTGATGATTTTCAGTCTGTTTTAGTTTTTGTTTTTGTCCTGTACCGCCCTCCTGTGGGTATCCGGGTGATGTGCTGGGTGGGTGTGTCAACTTTATTTTCAAAATTGACACAATTTCTTTTTCTTAATGTGGTCCTAATACTCCATCGTAGTCCTAGGAGTGTATACAGTGTGATTCATGTTTATTTGGGTTCATAGTTAGCGCTCATAAATGGCTGTTTCAGCTCTGTTCTCTTCTTCTGCTCTTTCTCTTTCAGGCCACTGGAAGCTTTTTCTAACAAGCAGGTTTCTCAGGTTGCTTGTGGGAGTCAGCACTCAGTTGCACTGACCAAAGGTACAGTCGAATCTTGCAAGCGCTAAAGATTTTTAGTTCAATTCAGTTTTATTTATATAGCACCATATCACAACAACAGTCACGTCAAGGCACTTTATGTTTGACGGTAAAGGCGTTACAATAATAGAGAGGAATCCCAACAGTCAAAGAACCCCTCTGAGGAAGCACTTGGTGATGGTGGGAAGGAAAAACTCCCTTCTAACAGGAAAAAACCTCCAGCAGAACCAGGGTCAGGGAGCAGCAGCCATCTCATCTTAGGTTTTTATTTAAACAAGCTAAAATAATTAAGAGACCCTGAATCAGTCCAGCCAACTTGCACTTCATAATTGTACGGACCCTAAGGTTGTAATTTAACAACATCTGTCATGTAGTTCATGTTATTTGTCTTTGTATACATGTCTATATAGATATACATTCCTCCACATATTTTAAATTGTATAATTATAATACACATGCATGGTACAATTGTAAACAACCAAATAAAGGTATCGATCTATCTAATGAGTAATTAGAGTATTTTAGATGTAGGAACAAACAATATTTTGCCACTGTGTGTTTAGATACTGTGGGCAGGTTAAAGCAGTTTATAAATAAGATCTAATCATTTAAAGCCTAGAAGGACGGGTGAATTTTAAACTTCAGTCTCACTTTCTCCATCAGGTACACATTATCTTTTATGCATACAAGCATTTATATATGAAATCTGAATTGGAAATTTTGTTTCCATTTGGTCATGACATTAAACATAAACTCTGAGTAAAAGTTGAAGATATCAGGAGTGAGAGTGTTTCACAGAGACATGCTGATTCTCCCACAGATGGTCAGCTGTATACGTGGGGCCAGGACTGCAGGGGCCAGCTGGGTCTGGGTACGAGAAAGTCTGTCTGCAGATCACCTCAACATGTGCCATCACTGTCAGCGATCCCCGTGATCCAGGTCGCTGCAGGAGGAGACCAGAGTTTCGCCCTCTCTGTCTCTGGAGGTGTTTTCAGCTGGGGGAGAAATGACTGTGGA